GGGGGGGTCGTGTGCCGGGGGTCGTATGCGGGGGGGGGGGGCGTGGTGCGAGGGGGGCGTGTGCGAGGGGGGCGGTGTGCGAGGGGGGCGTGTGCGGGGGGCGTGTGGCGAGGGCGTAGGTGCTGCGAAGGGCGTTTAGTGTGCCGAACGGGGGTAAGTGGTGCAGGGGGTCAGTGGTTGCGAGGGGGTTATGTGCGAGGGGGTAGTGTGCGGGGGTAGTGTGTCGGTGGTCGTGCGCGGGGGGGGGGGTGTGTCGGGGGGGGGTCGTGTCCGGGGGGGGTCGTGTGCCGGGGGGGGGTCCGTGTGCGGGGGTGGTCGTGTGCGGGGGGGGTGGGGGGGGGGGGTGTCGTGTGCGGGGGGGGGGGGGGGGGGGGGGGGGGGCGGGGGGGGGGGGGGTCAGTGTGCGGGGGGGTCGTGTGCGGGGGGGGGGGGGTGTCGTGTGCGGGGCAGGGGGGCCGTGTGTGGGGCAGGGGGGCCGTGTGTGGGGCAGGGGGACCGTGTGTGGGGCAGGGGGGGCGTGCGCGAGCTCTCCCTACCTTGGGCGAGGAGATCTTGAGGTAGACGACGGTGGGCGCGAGCGAGGTCTTGGCGAGCTGCGACGGGTGGTTGATGGTGTCGCAGTCGAGCACGACGAGTTGCAGCGTGCGCGCCAGCTCGAAGATGCGCTCGATCTCCGCCTGCACCTCGGCCAGGCACGTGGAGCGCGAGTTGGAGCGCTCCATGATGGCGCGCTTCGACGGGTTGTTCAGCAGCGAGCGCTTCGCCAGCGAGATGTCCGCCATGACGCGCGTGATGATGATCCTGCGGAGAGCAACACGCACTTAATAACGCCCGTTCACAATGCAAACATAAACATGGACATGGCGTTAACATACAAATTAGCATTTCGTCCATAAGCGGACTCGTTCACAATGCTTTCTCATAAACATAAAACGTAAGACCTAAACTTAGAAGCCTGCAATCTTCTGTGCTTATGTGTAAGATATAAGAAATGGACCAATCACAGTACGTAAACTCAAAATCGAGAATCGAAATAGGATCGACGTCGATAGACGAACTAACGCTATCTACACTAGATGGCGCTGGACGAACAAAAGACAAAAGGGTACTACAGAAGTGTACTGTATAGAACTCTTTCCAACGGCTGGTTTGTCCACTGATTGGGTGGTGTGTGGACACTAGTTTAAATCGAACCTTAGTCGATACCTCGAAATCGATTCTCATATCCAACCAATGGTAAACTAGAATGTCTCACAGCGAATAGAAACTCTTATTTTGCTTACATTTGTGTCCAACGTGAGTCCGTCCGTCCGTCACAACACTAGGGACTAAACTGTGCAGCTGATTTTCTCCAAAATTGATATCCCCCTATAAGTCTAATTGATGTCGCAGCCTTTGAATTTGAAACTGATATTTTAATTTTGGTGGGTACTTTACATAGAGCTCCGGGTACATTGATTTTAACTTTGTTGTTGGATAGTCTGATGGTCGTTTAAGAGAATGGTGCAGGTTTCATTTCCGTTGAAAACTCTAATTTTTCGAAAAATGCAAAACTGTATAACTTTTTTGGCGTCTTCCATCGACTACAATTATGAAGATAGAAATTTTAACCTTAATCAACTCAGTTCATTAAAAATAGATTTTAAATAAGATAATGTACAACGTTTCGAAAATTTGAGTACATTTTGCACAATTTCGCATGAAAGTACGGCCGAGAATGTACTGCCTATGTAGGACCACTAGTTTTAGTGTAGACACTATTTTCTATCAAAGACGAAACAAATTTGATTGCATTCCAACAAATCCAACAGGGGAGGGGGCAAGAGTGTCGTCCGCAGCCGCGGAGAGGGAGATTGTAAGAATAATTATTGATGAAAATTACGTTTAAAAGTATTTCAAGAGATCGCTGTCATTTGTCGCAGTCGTCTAAAATTAATTTTCCTTTTTATTGCTTATTTTATTCTTAGAGTTGACCGTAATTTAAGGGAAAGGAATAACTCACTGAAGTCTACAAGTTATTGATGTTTGTATGAAAATGTAATTTGCGCCGAGAAAGGTCAAAGGCTTTCATAGCAGTGTATGTTAATATATTTTTGTCATGCATCTGGACTAATATAAGCCAAAATTAATCTAAAACTAATGATTATCTAGCCCAAACATAGGGTGAAATTTATTTATAAGTATGCCATTTTTTGCAGATCGATAAAGTCATATCTATTCTACGAAAGTTTACACAGTTTGCGACACGCAATTTACATCAGTTCACCCGCCAGTCAAACCCAGAAAACTTTCAGGTCTCCTCCCAGCTTTCTTGACCTTTCGACTCGGGTGCGTGCACGTCATGTTACGAAATACAATCCCGAACAATAATTATGGCCTGAAGAAACTCGCATTGTACAATTCTCGAGATTTGCCTTTCGTCAGGATACCGAACAAAATTACAGTTATTACGAGTAAATTTTGATTTGAATAGCAAGAACTTCTGGAAGATTGTGACCTGTTCACTTGATTCTTGTTATTTCCTTCATTTCATTTTCTGCGCTAGCCTTCAATTAATTATCAATAATAATAATAATAATAATAATAATAATAATAATAATAATAATAATATTAAATGTGAGACGCGAAAGTTGTTATAGGAGTCATGGAGAGTTATACCACTATATGGACAATATTAGAAAGAATTGACAAGGTGAAGTTAAAAATTAATCATATGTGTGGCTTAAAAGAGGGAAGTAAATCAAGAAATCGAACCAGTTTTAATAAATGCTCAAGATCAGGCGATGAGAACACATCATATAGTGCAGATCCCAAAATTTCTCAAAATGATAAATGCCGCTTTTGCCGAGAACAAGTAGAAACCACTGATCATATCGCCTCAGCTTGTCCAGTTCTAGCAAAGACCGAATGCTTGAAAAGACACGATAGGGCATGTTACCTTTTCTAGCAAATCTGTAATCCCCTCGAAGTTCAAACACTTCTTCAGGTGGTACACTCACCAAAACCGGTGACGTTTGTTGGACTGTGTACAGTGTTGTACGACAAACAAATTTAAACTGATCACATGGTATCGGCAAAGAAATAGGGTATTGTTATCCGGGATTTGAAGAGACAAATGTGCCTACTTGTAAATATTGCTGACACGGAAACTCCAGGAGGCAGGGAAAAATAGAAGAATTTGGAAAAGCGAGGTCAGACGAATATGGGATGCAAAACAAAGGTCATCCTGATAGTATTCGAAGTTTTGGAATTGGTTCCGAAAAATAAAATTTCTGTAATAATTTGGCTGACCTCCCAGGTCATTCTGGGATGTGTAGCACATTGCTTTATTCACAACAGCCTAAATGTTACATGATGTATTGCAGAGCACCCACATAACTCATAACATCTCACTCATAACATCTTTGGTACTCATTGCTCACTCATAACATCTTTGGTAGTGAATTAGGGTATTAATACTCTCATGAAAACTATGATAATATATTATTATTACTTTTATAATTTCACTTCTAAGACTATTTTATAAACAAACAAGCAAGAGTATCCAAAAACAGAAATGTTTGTAGAAAGAGTTGTAAACAATAGACGAATAGACCGACTGAAACAGAGTTAAAACTTCAGTCAAAACACATTGTAAAAAGAACGCGTAAACCAGGCGCGTCAAACCACGCCCGCACGAGCTACTAGCCCGCCTGGGGAGCCCGGGTCTGGCAATTTCCCCTGATTCCGCACACGCGCACGTACACCCCTTCCTGAACTTTAAGGGGAAGCAAGGTAGAATGGGGCGATGCGGTGAATAGTGAATACGAAAATGTTTTCCAAATTTTTTCTATCAAATATTTAAAAATTGTGTTATGTTAATATTCTTCACTATTTATTACTGTTTATTTTCCTACTAAATTCTGCCTTATATAAACATCTTTACTAATTGTCAGAAATGTATTTGAGTGGCGAATTCCTTCCTTGCTTTCGTTTTGTGTTGTGTTATTAAATCATTCAGTTTTTTATTGTATTTAACAATATTGTGAAATAAATTATCAAGTCTCTATACGTCAACAATTCTCGCTTAAGGACAAACAGCGCTTTTGAAAGACAAGAAACCTTCTAACCTGAACGTAGAAATATATTCTTTTATATCACTTAAGAAAACAGGGTTACAAATCAAGATAATTTGGATTCCACTGTCTCATATTTTACTCTCAATTGAGAACTTAATATCGGACTGATATATCATTTCATTTTAATGGATAATTTCTTTGCTTTAGAGAGAAAATGGTAAGTAATGAAGCTAAATTTGGGGCAATAAGTAATTCTCGTAAAAACTGTCAATTAACAGGTATTCAGTGACGAACCGCCATTCCGGAGGTATTTCTACAACCTTTCTTTCAAACCTCGCGCCAATTTCTCTGGACGCAGCTCTCGCGAGCTCTAGTGTCCTTGTTACCTTGCTTCGTGTAAACTGGTCAAACATCTAAAGAGAATAGGAGAAGGAGAATGAACCACATTTATTGACAGTATTATTGAGTCGGGCAAAACAGAGATGAAGAGAGGGATACAAGAGTAGCATGAGTATGTTTATTTTCGTCTTTTGTGTTTTTAGTAACTAGTTTTCACACCCACTCCCCCACACCCAGACGCAGACACACACAAAAGGAGAGAATAAAGATCAGACAAACTGATAAAGTTAAAAGGTGGAAATTGATAATAGGCAAGAAAATGAGAGGAAACAAATAATGGGGAATTAGAGGAGAAAACTTGTTAAGAATAGCAGAAAAAGAAAACTGACGAGGAAGAAAAAAGACGACGAAGAAGAAGCTGTCGAGGAAGAGAAGACGAAGAAGAAGCTGTCGAGGAGGAGAAGACGAAGAAGAAGCTGTCGAGGAGGAGAAGACGAAGAAGAAGAGTTCGAGGAAGAGGACGAGGAAAAGACAACTGATGAGAAAATCGATGATAAGCAGAAAGCGAAGTATTGCCAGCAGAAGGGGAATCGACGAGTATTCTTGCACAAAGTAATTCCAAGAGGTGTATCGCCCTTGAACCTGCCCCCCCCTCCGTCTACACGTGGCGTGGCGCTGCGCGTCGAGGTGTCTTCCACCCAGGCGGCCGCAGCGACCTCAGCGACCACAGCTGCAGCGGCAGGCCGCAGCGTCGTAACCCTTTATCGCGGGCCGGAGCGCGGGAGCCCGTCCTCGTCGTAAATCCCGCGAGTGCCTATGAAACGCCACCCGCCGCCCGGCGCGCTGGCGTCGCGACGAGGCGACGCCGCATCAGATAACGCGGCTTCCTCGTCCGCCGTCGAGGTCGGGACGAGGGAAGACGAGGTTGCGGCCAAAAGCCGGCCGATCGCAGGGGAGGAGAGGTTCGACGTTCTGTTCGCAAAGGGGGGGGGGGGAAAGTTCGGACGCGGCCAACAGATTTTGTATAGCGAGAGGGGAACAGCCAGGGCCGCTCCAACCCTAGTACAGGCGCTGCACCGCGCAAGGGCGACAAACATTTAGGCGTTTTTTAATACCTGCATCATATTTTAATTTTTTTTAAATTCTAAATGAAAATAGTTTACTCTATAATTCACAATCCTCATTTGGTTTTAAATTAAGGGACGAAAGAATCTCCTAATTAAGTACAAGTAATACAATTTTCGGATATTTCATAAGTTTCGGATTATATAATTTTGGTTACTTTTATTACTCATGCGACAACTGCGCAGTCGCTGTTCGAATTCACAGTAAGAGGTATGTATAAGCTAAATAAAATCTTTGTAACAAAATTCAAAATATTAGAACGCGGTGTTGATCACAAAAATTTGCACAATGGTGCAAATTACCTTGGCGCGGCTCTGGGCCAGTCTACTCCGGAATACAAGAAATTTGACATTTTTCAGAATATTTAGAAACGATGAAGATCGATAGAACGTGTTCTGAATGTAAATTTCATCCACACTTTACTTTAAAGGTTATCATAGGATTTTTAATCATACTAATATCATTAACTATTCTATCACTTACAAATCCTTATTTATTAGGAGACCCCGACAATTTTACCCCTGTCAATCCTTCAGTAATCCCAGTCCGTATTCAACCTGAATGATACTTTCTATTCGCCTATGTCATTTTACGGTCGATTCCTAATAAATTAGGCGTAATAGCCCGAATTGCATCCATTGCTATTTTACTCATCTTACCTTTCACATACAATAATGAATTCCGAAGAACACAATTCTTTCCAATTATCCAAATATTATTCTGAATTTACACATCCATTGTTATCTTATTAACTTGAATTGGTGCTCGACCAGTTAAAGTACCATACATTTTAACAGGACAAATTTTAACCATCAGATATTTTATATTCTTTCTCATCAATATTTTAATACTTAAATTATATCAATTAATAAATTAAGTAATTAAGCTTAAAGCATTTGTTTTGAAAATAAAAGATAGAATCATCATTCTATTAACTTAACTTTCTAAAATGTCTCAATAAACCATCCAATAAAATTAGGCTGAAGATGCTGGAAGTCGGTTACATATAAATTACACTCAAGTAGCAAATTGATTTCCTAAGAAGTAGATCTCATGTTCGTCCTGTCCGGTACTGTCGGGTCGGGTCGGGTCGGGTCGGGTCGTGTCTCGTTCAGTGTGTCCCATCGCATTCAGCCTTGTCCGCTGTGTTTGGTTTGTCGGTCCTGTTTTTCTAGTTTGTTCTCTCTGCACGTCCTGCCTATCAATCTTGTCTGTCTTACCTGTCTGTTCGGCTTGACGGTCTAGCCTGTCTGTGTCCTGTCTTTGGGTGCTTCTATTTCTTTGCGCAAAATACGACTTGTTCCCAATAACGTGATATCCTACATTTCCAAGACCTTTGAACGGCCTGGGAGTTTGGAATAATTCTTCAAGATTGCCATTGCAATATATTGTTGCAATAAAAAGATAAATACAAAATTAGTATATTTACTGCATTTTTGTTATTTGAAATACGCATGCATTTAGAAAATCAACACCTAATTTATTTATTTTAAATACTTACTTACAAAGTATTTTGGTGAAGTATTTAAATACTAAATTTAAAGTATTTAGTCCAACCCTGCACATTGCTCAGTAATTGGAAATTAGTTGTTTCGAAATATTCTTCGGCTGAAATTCTTTCTTTCAAAAGTTTCGAGATAAGGTGATTATTGTGGAGTAGTTATGTAATCGATCCCTGCAGTATTCTCTTACTAATCCATGAATGACACTTCTTCTCCCGCGAATAACTACTTTTTGAAACACCCAGTACTTGTAGCAAGATTTTATCAGGACTTCTCGTGACGCCTGTTGACGTCAGAAGGCGACGTTTCCGGAACTGCCTTCAGAGCGCAGTACAATAGCGTGACTCTAAGAATCTCAAAAATTGAGCAATAGATGTGCTTTCTATGGTAAAAATGTTAAGAGTTTTTTTTCCTTCTTCATAAAATAAATTTTCGGCAAGGAAAAATTAAATATGGAAAGGTAAACGCACAAAGTGAGGCTGGAAGAAATTTTAAAAGGATCTAATCGTAAGACTCTACGATGAAATATATCAATATCTTTTCAGCTATATTGCATTGTTAGTGCGATGCATTGTTAGAACACTGTTAGAGCGATATTGGACAGTATTGTGTGGACAAGCACAACAAAGTAATTTGAAGGAAATAATATCTATTCTAAAGCTGAAATGGGGCGAAAAAAGAGACATGGAGGGAGAGAGAGATACATGGAGGGAGAGAGAGATACATGGAGGGAGAGAGAGATACATGG